GCAGTGGATTGAATTAGTGACATGAAAGACAAGGAAGAAAAAACACCCAGTCAAAGCAAAAAAAAAAAAAAGAAAGAAAGAAAAAGAAAAAAGAGAAAAAGAACATGAATAGTTAAAGAGAGCTTTGGTACAGCATGAAACCTAACAATACTTGCTTCATAGGGATGCCAGAACAAGAACATAAGGAGCAAGTGTCATAAAACCTGTTTGAAAAAATGAGAGAAAACTTTACTAACTTGGTCAGGGAAGAAGTCATTCAAGTTCAGGAAACACAGAGGGTCCCAATCAAGATTAACCCAAAGAAGCCCATGTCAGGATTGTAATAAATATAGCAAAATTTAAAGACAAAGAAGTATCTTAAAAGCAGCAAGTGAGGAAGAGCTAGTAACTATCAGCCAATTTTAAAAGAAACACTACAAGCCAGAAGGGATTAGCAGCGTATGTTCCAACTGATGAAAAGCAAGGACCTACAACTAAGACTATGGGATCCAGCAAAGCTCTCATTTAAAATGGAAGAAAAAAATAAAGAGCTTCCCAGATAAAAGAAGGTTAAAAAGAGTACATGTCCACCAAGCCAGAACTGCAAGAGATGCTATAGGGACTGCTTTAAGAAGATGAAGAAATAGAGAGAGGAACACAGGTACAAAGGCAAAATATGACAATAAGTACCTATCAATAATAACCTTAAATGTAAATGGATCAAATGCTCCAATTAAAAGACATAGGGTATCTGAATGGATAAGGAAACACAACCTGCATATATGTGGTCTACAAGAGAACCACCTCAGAATAAAAGATACATATAGGCTGAAAGTGAGGGGTGGAAAAATATTCCTAGCAAATGAGCAAGAAAAAGAAACCTGGGGTAGCAATACTTATATCAGACAAAAAAACGACTTCAAAACAAAGGCCTGAACGAGAGAGAAAGAAGGTCACTACAAAATACTTGAGAGTAGTCCAACACTATGCTATAACTTGTAAACATATACACCCAATAGAGTAGGACCTAAATATATAAAGAAAATCTTAAAGAACTATACGAAAGAGATAGACAGCATAACAGTCATTTTAGGGGATTTTAACAAGCAAATGCCAACAATGAACAGGTCTTCCAGACAAAACTCAATAAGGATATAAAAGCAGTAAACAACACACCAGATTAAATGGACTTAATTGATATTTACAGAAAATTTACTCCAGAGAAGCAAAATATACATTCTTCTCAAATGCACATGGGCCACTTTCAAAAATAGACCACATGGTAGGACACAGAACAAGCCTCAGCAAATTCAAGAAGATTGAATTAATATATGAGGCATTTTCATGGATCACAATGGCTTGAAACTAGAAAGCAACCTCAAGGAAAAACCTCAAAAACAGTCAAATTCATGGAGACTGAATAACATGTTATTAAACAATGAGTGGGTTAACAATGATATCAAGGAATAAATAAAAAGGTTTCTGGAAACAAATGAAAATGAACACACAACAGACCAAAACCTATAGGACATAGCAAAGGCAGTCCTGAGATTTCATAGCAATACAGGCCTACCCAAAGAACATTGAAAAATCTCAAATCAACACCATTATCCTACATGTAAAATAAATAGAGGAACAACAACAAAGTCCAGAGTCAGCAGAAGGAAGGAAATAATCAAGATCAGAACAGAATTAAATGACATAGAAATCATACACACACACATACAGAATTCAAAGGACAATGAATCCAGTGGCTAGTTCTTTGAAAGATAAACAAAACTGACAAACCTTTAACCAGGATCATCAAGAACAAGAAAGAGGGAGGTCCTAAATAAATAAAATCAGAAGTAAAAGAGGAGTGTTAACAACTAATACCACAGAAATACAAAGGATTGTAAGAAATTATGAGTATATGCCAAGAAATTGGAAAACCTGGGCATAGCTGATATATTCCTAGACACATACAATCTTCCAAAACTGAATGAAGAAGAAGCAGAAAATGAATAGACTAATAACAACTAGTAAAATTGAAGCAGTGATCAAAAAAACACCCAGCACAGAAAAGCCCTGGACCAGATGGCTTCACAAGTGAATTTTAACAAACACTCAAAGAACTAACACCTATCCTTTCACATTACTAAAAAAAAATCAGAAAGAGGAAAGACTCCCAAACTCTTACTACAAGCCCATTATTATCCTACAACCAAAAGCAGGTAAAGACACAACAACAACAAAAAATTACAGGCCAATATACCTGATGAACATAGATGCTAAAATCCTCAACAAAGTACTAGCAAACTGGATCCAGCAGCACATTAAAAAGATCATACACCATGTTCAAGTAGGGTTTATTCTTGAGGTGCAAGGATGTTAAAATATTATCAAATCAATAAACATAACACATTACATAAAAGGAAAGTCAAAATCAAATGATCATATGAATAGATGCAGAAAAAGCATTTGATAAAATCCAACAGCCATTTATGATAAACACAACAAAGTTGGAATAGAGTGAGCATAGCTTAACATATTAAAGTCCATATACAAAAAATGTACTACCAATGTACCAAATGTACTACCCAAATGTACTACCATTACACTCAGTGAACAAAAACTAAGTATCCTTTAGGATCAGCAAGAAAACAAGTGTGTTTACTCTCACCACTCTTATTCAGTACTGGAAGCACTAGACGAGAAAAAATACAAGGCATACAAATGAAGAGGAGGTAAAACTCATTATTTGCAGACAACATGATAGTGTACATAGAAAACTCTATAGGCTCCACCATAAAACCTACTCAACCTAACAAGTGAATTCAGCAAAATAACTGGATACAAAGCCCATATTCAGAAATAGATGGCATTTTTGTATACCAACAATAACCTATCAGAAAGAGAATCTAAGAAAAAAGTTTCATTTACTATAGCAACAACAACAAAAAACGTCAGAAAATTATAGAATACCAAAGAAAGAAGTTGAGGAAGATACAAATAAATAGAAGCATACATACCCTGTTCATTTAATGGAGAATTAACATAATTAAAGTGTCCATACTAGCCAAAGAAATCTATAGATTCAACATAATTCCTATTAAAGTACCAACTGCATCACTCACACACCTAGAAAAATATTCCAAAAATTTATATGGAACCAAAAAGGATCCCAAATAACCTCAGCAAATTTGAGAAAGATGAACAAGGTTGAAGGGAACACAATGCATGATATCAAGCTAGACTACAAGGCTACTGTAAACAAAATGGTCTGGTAATGGCATAAAAACAGACATGTAGATCAATGAAACATAACAGAGAGCCCAGAAATAAACCCATACTTTATGATTAATTAATATTTGACAAAAGGGGTATGAACATACCATGGAATAAAAATAGTCCCTTCAATAAATTGTATTGTCGGAAATGGACCAGAACATACAAAGAAATGAAACTAAAACATCAAGTCACACCATATTCAAGAATAAACTGAAAATGGATAAAAAACTTAAATATGTCGGGATTCCATAAAAATCCTATTGGAAAACATAGGCCATGAAATTTCAGATATCTCACATAGCAATATTTTTGCTGATATATATCTTAGGGCAAGGGAAATAAAAATAAACAAGTAGGACTACATCAAATTAAAAAGCTTCTGCAGAGCTAAAGAAGCCATTATCAAAAGGATAAGGGAATGAACTGACTATAGGGGAGAACATATTTGCCAACAATACATCAGACAAGGATTTAATCTCCAAAATATAAAAGGAACTCATACAACTTAACAGATGGAAGACAAACAATCTAATTTAATTGCCCTATTCAGGGCAAGGACCTGAATAGATGCTTCTCCAAGGACAACATAACTAATGGTCCATAGACATATGAAAAGATGCTCAGCATTACTAGCCATCAGAGAGATGCAGGTTAAAACCACAATGAGATATCACCTCACACCTGCCAGAATGGCTATCATTAATAAATCGACAAACAACAAGTGCTGGTAAGGACGTGGAAAAAGGGAACCCTAGTGCACCATTGGGAATGCAGACTGGTGCAGTCACGATGGAAAACAGTATGGAATTTCCTCAAAAGATTAAAAATAGACCTGCCTTTTGACCACTAATTCTGCTGCTGGGATTATACTGGAAGGATCTGAAACAGCAATTCAAAAGAACTTATGCACCCCAATGTTCATAGCAACACAATTTACAATAGCCCAGGTTGGAAGCAACCTAAGTGCCCATCAGTAAATGAGTGGACCAAAAAAAAAAAAAAACTGTGGTACATTTACATAATGGAATACTATGCAGCAGAATGAAAGAAGGAATTTCTACTTTTTATGACAACATGGATGGAACTGGAGACTATTATGCTAAGTAAAATAAGTCAGTTTGTAACAGATGAATATATACTTTTACTTATAAGAGGAATCTAATGAGGAAAATAGGCCCAGAAGCATGGAACCACGGAAGGGACTGAACCTTAAGAGGGTAGGGGGAATGTGGGGGACTGGTTGAAATAAGGTGAAGGGATTAGTTAAAGAATATTCATTAAGGACCCATAGACATGGGTGATAGTGTGGAAATTGACTGTTGAAGTGGGGGTTCACCTGTGTGCAGGGGTAGGAAGGAGGGAAATGGTACATCTATAATAGCATAAAGAATACAACATGGAAAATGGAAAAAAAGTAAGACAAAGGATGAAAGTTGAACATCGGGTTTTAACTGCATAGATTTCTAATAATCCAAATCAAGTTGTTTTCGGAAGAATGATGGTTGAAAGCATTACCTCCTAAATGTAATGCTTTTCTCATTTTTGTATGAGTTTAGGTAAGAATTAAAATAGTAAATTAAAGTTATTATGTTCACATGGATTTAAAAGACTTTTATCATGACAGTAGTCTAGTTTTGGCTTCTCTGAATACTGATTCTGAGTTTCTATGTTCTTGATTTCCATATGTATTGTTTCATGGTGAAGAGGGTTATCAAGTTATTTAAGAGAAGTTAATTTCACATTACGTTTAGTTGCTTTTTTATTTTGGTTGAAAGAAAAGATGAAGAAAGAGTCATTGAGCATCCTGTTTGCAGAATGTGGGTGTGGTCTTAGCATTTTTCAGGCCAAAATGACTCAAGATCTTGTTATAAGAGGGATTCCAGAGATCTTAAGAGGAGAGCTCTGGGTGCTTTTTTCAGGCATTATATTCATTTGCTTTATTTAACAGACATTAATTGTACTACTTCTAGGAGTTATGCATTAAGCTATATAAAAATACTTGCCAAGATGGCTAGGACATACATAGCCTTACTAATGATTCCAGACTAAAAAAAAAAAAAAAAAAAAATCAAAGAGGGCACTGTTGTGGACCGCTCTGCCTGGTTTTAGGAATTGTAACTCTACCCCTTGTGCCTAAGGGCGAGGGACGAGCTTTGGAGTGCCAGCGGATGGAGACAAAGCTTTTCTCTGGTAGCAAACACTGCCTCAGTTTCCTCTCCCTGTCCCCAAAGCTTGGTTGGAAGTCAATTACGGATAAGACCCCTCACATCGTGGGGCAACCTAAGCCCAACTCGACGGCTTGGGAGTCCATCATGGAAGGACTCGGGGGGGGGGGCTGCAACAAAGAGGGAGCAATGGACTCTCACCCCCCAGCTTTGACAATGCCCCAGTCCCCATGTCCTCTGGGAGAAGTGCTTCCTGGCTCGAATTCCCTTAAGCCTGAATACCGGTTGGGGAGGGGTGCAGCTCCTTGCCTTGCTAGAGCATGTCCTGGGGAAAAATCTGGCATCACAAAGACTTCCTGATAAACCTGTGAAATCTGCTCTGTTAAGAGTGCTTTCACTCATATGTTAAGGGTTCGAGCAGGAAACCCTAAAACTCTGTTTCTGACAGACTCTGACTCAAACTAAGCCCTCAGATTTCTTTGAAATGTTATCTACAGTTTGATCCTTGTCACCCTGTATTCCTGTGTATTACAACCCAATAAAAGGCCCTGAAGGAGGGGGCTGAACACCTTTTTTTTCCCTGAGAAACTGGCCACAGCTTATGGCCTTTTTCCTCTGGGAAAATGTCCACCTCTCCTCCCCAAGCAGATCATATCATATCTCTGTCATGTTTACTCTCATCCATGGCGGCTGGGGTGAATTGCGAAGAAAGTTGTCCCTACAGGGCACACTAGTTATGTATACTTACTTATATATCCACATGTCCAATATCTAAGCAGATTAGCTTATTACCAAGTTATAGCAATGGTTGGGTAGATCTCTATTTCTACTGTCAATGGAAAGTTAAGGGGAAAAACAGTTCATGAAAATATTATTCTATTGGGCAAGATTGGTATCCTCATTTTATAGATTTTAGTGTGAAGCATTTTGTTTTATTGTTTTTATTTAGATATTACCTGAGCATAAATGTAAAGTTAAAAGTATTATAATTCTTGCCCTGACTGATGTGGCTCAGTGGATTGAATGCCATCCTATAAACCAAAGGGTTGCTGATTCAATTCCCAGTCAGGGCAAATGCTTGGGTTGTGGTCCAGGTTCCCAGTGAGGAGTGCACACACGGCAATCACACATTGATGTTTCTCTCCCTCTCTTTATCCCTCCCTTCCCCTCTCTCCAAAAATAAAGAAATAAAATCTTTAAAAAATGTTCCAATTCTACATGTATCAATACATATGAAAGTAGTAACTTTATTATACTGCTTTCCTTTTGTATGTTAATACAGTCATCTTTACAGGTGCTGTTAATAGCATGGCTGCTAATCCTGGCTATTATGCTAAGATAGTTGAGCAGTCCTCAGGGACTAGCAACTTGACTACTGAAGAAGTTGAACGTGATTTACATCACTCCCTACCAGAGCACCCAGCCTTTCAGAGTGATACTGACATATCTGCTATGAGGCGGGTACTCACTGCTTATGCATACAGGAATCTCAACATTGGATACTGCCAGGTATGACTTTATTTTGAACCCAACTGTGTATATGTTCCAAGGGATAAAAATCACATAAACTCTAACTCTATTACTTTGAAAATTGTGATAAGGACAGAGGGTGGGCTACATTGATAGTGGGTATTTTTTAAATATATTTTATTGATTATGCCATTACATTTGTCCCATTTCGCCCCCTTCATTCCCCTCCAACCTGCACACCCCTTCCCACCCACATTCCCCCCTTTAGTTCATGTCCATGTGTCATAAGTCTTTTAGGTTCTACATTTTCTGCACTACTCTTGCCCTCCCCCTTTCTATTTTCTTCCCACTGTCTATGCTACTTATTATCTGTACCTTCTCACCCTTTCTCCTCCTCCCACTTTCCTATTGCTAACCCTCCATGTGACCTCCATTTCTGTGGCTCCACTCCTGATCTAGCTGTCCACTTAGTTTGCTTTTGTTTTAGGTGTGGTCGTTAATAATCGTGAGTTTGCTGTCCTTTCATTATTCATATTTTTATCTTCTTTTCCTTAGAAAAGTCCCTTTAACATTTCATATAATAAGGGCTTGATGATGATGAACTCCTTGAATTTGACCTTATCTGAGAAGCACTTTATCTGCCCTTCCATTCTAAATGAAAGCTTTGCTGGATAGAGCAATCTAGGATGTAGTTCGTTCAATTTCTTGACTTGGAATACTTCTTCCCAGCTACTTCTTGCCTGTAAGGTCTTTTTTGAGAAATCTGCTGACAGTCTGTTGGGAACTCTTTTGTAGGTGGCTGTCCCCTTATCTTTTGCGGCTTCTAGAATTCTCTCCATTTTAATCTTTGGCTAATGTAATTATGATGCTCCTTGGTGTGTTCCTCTTTGGGTTCACCTTCTTTGGGACTCTCTGAGCTTCCTGGACTTTCTGAAAGTCTATTTCCTTTGCCAGATTGGGAAAGTTCTTTTTTATTATTTGTTCAAATAAGTTTTTCACTTGTTGCTCTTCCTCTTCCCCTTCTGGTACCCCTATAATTCGGATGTTGGAATATTTAAAGATGTCCTGGAGGTTCCCAAGCCTCTCCTCATTTTTGTGAATTCTTGTTTCTTCATTGTTTTCTGTTTGGTCATTTTTTTCTTCCTTCTGGTCCATTCCTTTGATTTGAGTCCCAGTTTCCTTCCCATAACTATTGGTTCCCTGTGCATTTTTCTTCATTTCACTTAGTGTAGCTTTCATTTTTCTATCTAATTTGAAACCAAAATCAACCAGTTCTGTGAGCATCCTGATCACCAGTGTTTTGAACTGTGCATCTGATAGGTTGGCTGTCTCTTGGTCACTTAAATGTATTGGCCCTGGGGCTCTGATTTGTTCTTCTGTTTGAACCATTTTTGCTCAGGTCATGCCTGTTAAGTATGAGTGGCAGAGCCTTACATGTTCACCAGGGCAGTGTACTGGGTTGTGACATTGTATGTGGGGGCAAGGTCAGAGAAGGAAGAATGGTACTTGCTCCACTCTCTCTCAGATTTCAGTTCCCTCTGCCCCTTCCCACAAGCAAATTGGGCCCTTCTTGTGATGGTTTCCTGGTGGGTGAGCTTCTGTACTTTATAAGACCCTGTGGGGCTCTCCAACAAACTTTCCTGTGAAGCTGAGAGTCTCTCCTGGCACCTTTTCAATCGGTGCTTTTAGGCTTTATTTCCTGTCAGTGGGGCCCTGGATTGTGCAGTCTGTCTCACTGCCCATTTTTGCCTAGTTTATCTGGGCACGAATATGTGACCACAGTCAGCCAACCACCTTGTGCGTTCTGCTTGTTTCCTCCCTGCACCTGGGGTCCACTAGTCATGCACCACCTACTCCCTCCCGGGTCTGGCAGCCACCACCTTTTGCTGCTGAGATCCCTCTCCACCGGCTGCTGACCCTGCCCCTCTTACCAGTCTCTTTGAATGGTTATCAGACTTCTGTACAGTTCAATTTTCTGTCTATTCTAGTTGTGTTTTTGTTTCTAAATCTTTGTTGTTCTTAATATTGGTTGTGTGAGGAGGCACAGTGTTTCCACCTATGCCTCCATCTTGGCTGGAAGTCAATAGTGGGTATTTTCAATCTAAGTAGAATGATAGTGGTACTGACTAAGTGGACTGACATTTTGTTAATTCATTTTTCTTTTAAATTTAACCAATGTTTATTTAATTCTTGCTCTATGAAAGATATTGTACTAAGTGCTAAAACTATATAAAGATGAATCATACAAGGATCTTCTCCTTCAAATATATAGATGAAAAACAAATGAGGCAGATTATTAGAGAAATATAAAGTCCCATCATGATTTAAAATAGAGATAAATTATTTTTATCTATAGAGTTCAGAGAAGGCTTCATGAAAGGTAGCATTTGTCTATTTTGAAAGTTATGAATTTTTGATGTATAGAGATGAAATGAAAGAACATTTCATTTGAAGGGATTAGTTTTAAAAAACACAAATAAAGGTAAATGTGGAATGTATATATGGCCCTTTTCTGTTTGGTATAAGTGTGTAGTGAATGAAGAAAAGTAGCTGGGGAAAAAAAGCCAGTAAGGTACACTGAGATAGGTCAGGAGTTTGAATGTTAATTTGTAGGCATTTACAAAATCATTGAAAAAATTATCTAGGAGCACATCATATTTATAAGGGTATGCTACATGCTAACACAAATAATTTCAAACAAGTAATAGCTCAAAATATAAAACTTTCACTTAGTATGTTCTTTGTATCTATGATTGTGTTTCTTTTTTGAAGTTTTTCCATCACTATTTATCCCTACATCCTCTCTTTCACCTCTACCCACATCCTGACTCCACAATCACCACACTGATGTCAATGTCCATAAGTCCTTCTTCTTTTTGCTCATCATTCTATCCCCCAACCATTCCGCCCTAGGACAGTCATCCTGTTCTCTATCTATGATTCTGTCTCTGTTTTGCTTGTTAGTTCAATCTAAGTAGAATGATTGAGATTTATTCATTAAATTCCATATATAGGTTTAATCATATAGTACTAGTGTTATTCTGACTGGATTCTTTCACTTAGCTTAATATTCTCCAGGTCCGTCCCTGCTGTGGCAAAGAGTAATTTTTTTGCTTTTTATGGCCAAGTAGTATTCCATGTATAAATGTAACCACTGCTGTTTTATACAGTCATCTACTGTTAGACACTATTCTGCTTTTTTATTTAATTTGTTTTTACAAATCAATTATTTTTATTTTATTTTATTTTTTAAAGATTTTATTTATTTTTAGATATATGGGAGGGGAAGGATAAAGACAGAGAAACATCAATGTATGATTGCCTCTCTTATGTCCCTAAGGGGAACCTGGCCCACAGCCCAGGCATGTGCCATGACTGAGAATTGAACCAGCAACCCTTTGCTTTGCAGGCCAGAGCTCAATTCACAGAGCCACACCAGATATGGCTACTTTTTAAACTTTTTATTTCTTTGTATTTTTTAAATTGTTCAATTACACTTGTCCCAATTTCTCAATTTTCCCCTGTTGCTTTCTCCTACCCTGCTTACCCCCTGCTCCCACAGTCATCCCCACGCTATTTTCCATGTTCATAGTTCATTTATATATAGTCCTGAACTAGATCTTTCCCCTTTTCTCCCCCTTTATCCACCTACCACTCCCCTCTGGTCACTGTCAGTTTACTCCCCTGTGGTCACTGTTAGTTTGTTCCTTATTTCCATGTCTCTGGTTCTATTTTTTCTTTCTTTGTTTTATTAATTAGGTTCCACTTATAGGTGAGATCATATGGCATTTGTCTTTTTCTGCCTGGCTTGCTTCACTTAACCTAATACTCTTCAGTTCTATCCATGTTGTCACAAAAGGTAGGAGCTTCTTCTTTCTTTCTGCTGCATAATATTTCACAGTTTTTTATCCCTTCATTTACTGATGGGGACTTAGGCCGTTTCCAGCACTTGGCTATTATAACTAAAGATGCTATGAACATTGGGGTGCATGGGTTCTTTTGAATTGGTGGTTTAAGATTCTTACGGTATAATCCCAGCAGTGGAATCACTGGTTCAAAATGCAGTTCCGTTTTTTGATTTTTGAGGAAATTCCATACTGTTTACTAAAGTGGCTGCACCACTCTGCATTTTCACTAAGAGGGTTTCATTTTCTCTACATCCTCACCAGCATTTGTTTGTTGATTTGTTAATTATGGCCAATCTGACTGGTGTGAACTGATATCTCATTGTGGTTTTAACCTGCATCTCTGTGATGGCTAATGATGTTGAGCACACTTGCATATGAGTATGATGTTATCTGTAGGTTTCTCATAAATGGCCTTTATTATGTTGAGGTGTGCTCCCTCTACTCCCACTTTGACTAATGTTTCTATCATAAATGGGTGCTGTACCTTCTCAAATGCTTTTTCAGCATGTCTTGATGTGATCATGTGATTTTTATCTTTCATTTTCTTCATGTGATGTATTATGTTTATTGATTTGCAAATATTGTATCATCCTGGCATCCCTGGGATGAATCCCACTTAATCATGGTGTATCATCTTTTTAATGTATTGCTGAAAGTAGTTTCCCAATATTGTTGAGGATTTTAGCATCTATGTTCATCAGCAATATCCGCTGGTAGTTTTCTTTCTTTGTTGTATCTTTATATGGTTTTGGAATTAGGATAATGTTGGCCTCACAAAAAGAGTTTGGGACTTTTCCCTCTTCTTGGACTTTCTGGAATAGACTGAAAAAGATAGAGGTTCCCTCTTCCTTGAGTGCTTTGTAAAATTCTCCTGTAAAACTATACAGTCCAGGGCTTTTGTGTGCTTGGAGTTTTCTAATTATTGCTTCCATTTCACCAGCTGTAATCACTCTGTTCAATGTTACTGTTTCTTCATTCAGTTTTGGAAGATTATATCTTTCTAAAAAATTGTCCATTTCATCCACATTTTCAACTTTTTTTGGCATATAGATGTTCGTAGTACTATCTTAAAATCCTTTGTATGGTATCATACAAAGGTATCAGTTGTAATCTCTCATTTTCATTTCCAAT